TTCGTCCCAACAGTTTTTCCGGGGCTATAAGATACCGTGTGAATTTCGACGATCGGCTCAGTAGTTTCGGAGTTACGAGGGGGGCTATTCATAGCCCCCCTAGTGGGGCGTGTTATACACAGACCCCAGTGGGGCGCGGGTTAATGGTTTATGGTTAATGGTTAATGGTTTAAATGACGGTTCCCGTCATTTAAACCGGATTTTAACTATGAAGGCGTTCAGCCACGAGCTTGGATTCTTCCACGGACGTTAGATCTGGATGAGCTCTACATTTTGCACATACTTTTGAAAATTCGTGGGTTTTATTTTCGCGACGTTATGCGGTTCCCCGTCATTTAAACCGGATTTTAACCATGAAGGCGTTGAGCCACGAGCTTGGATTCTTCCACGGACGTTAGATCTGGATGAGCTCTACATTTTGCACATACTTTGGAATTCGTGGGTTTTTATATTCGCGACGTTATGCGGATCCACGTCATTTAAACCGGATTTTAACCATGAAGGCGTTGAGCCACGAGCTTGGATTCTTCCACGGACGTTAGATCTGGATGAGCTCTACATTTTGCATATACTTTGGAATTCGTGGGTTTTTATTTTCGCGACGTTATGCGGTTCCCCGTCATTCAAACCAGATATTAACCATGAAGTTAAAGAGCCACTAACTTGGTTTCTTCCACGAACGTTAGATCTGGGTGAGCTCTACATTTTGCACATACTTTGGAATTCGTGGGTTTTTATTTTCGCGACGTTATGCGGTTCCCGGTCATTTAAACCAGATATTAACCATGAAGTTAAAGAGCCACAAAGTTGGATTCTTCCACGGACGTTAGATCTGGATGAGCTCTACATTTTGCACATACTTTGGAATTCGTTGGTTTTTATTTTGGCGACGTTATGCGGTTCCCCGTCATTTAAACCGGATTTAACCATGAAGTTAAAGAGCCACGAGCCTGGATTCTTCCAAGGACGTTAGATTTCGATGAGCTCTACATTTTGCACATACTTTGGAATTCGTGGGTTTTTATTTTCGCGACGTTATGCGGTTCCCCGTCATTTAAACCGGATTTTAACAATGAAGTTAAAGAGCCACGAGCTTGGATTCTGCCACGGACGTTAGATCTGGAGGAGCTCTACATTTTGCACATACTTTGGAATTCGTGGGTTTTTATTTTCGCGACGTTATGCGGTTCCCCGTCATTTAAACCGGATTTTAACCATGAAGGCGTTGAGCAACGAGCTTGGATTCTTCCACGGACGTTAGATCTGGATTAGCTCTACATTTTGCATATACTTTGGAATTCGTGGGTTTTTATTTTCGCGACGTTATGCGGTTCCCCGTCATTTAAACCGGATTTTAACCATGAAGGCGTTGAGCCACGAGCTTGGATTCTTCCACGGACGTTAGATCTGGATGAGCTCTACATTTTGCACATACTTTGGAATTCGTGGGTTCTTATTTTCGCGACGTTATGCGGTTCCCCGTCATTTAAACCGGATTTTAACCATGAAGGCGTTGAGCCACGAGCTTGGATTCTTCCACGGACGTTAGATCTGGATGAGCTCTACATTTTGCATATACTTTGGAATTCGTGGGTTTTTATTTTCACGACGTTATGGGGTTCCCCGTCATTCAAACCAGATATTAACCATGAAGTTAAAGAGCCACGAACTTGGTTTCTTCCACGGACGTTAGATCTGGATGAGCTCTACATTTTGCACATACTTTGGAATTCGTGGGTTTTTATTTTCGCGACGTTATGCGGTTCCCGTCATTTAAACCAGATATTAACCATGAAGTTAAAGAGCCACGAACTTGGATTCTTCCACGGACGTTAGATCTGGATAAGCTCTACATTTTGCAAATACTTTGGAATTCGTGGGTTTTTATTTTCGCGACGTTATGCGGTTCCCCGTCATTTAAACCTGATTTTAACCATGAAGGCGTTGAGCAACGAGCTTGGATTCTTCCACGGACGTTAGATCTGGATGAGCTCTACATTTTGCATATACTTTGGAATTCGTGGGTTTTTATTTTCGCGACGTTATGCGGTTCCCCGTCATTTAAACCGGATTTTAACCATGAAGGCGTTGAGCCACGAGCTTTGATTCTTCCACGGACGTTAGATCTGGATGAGCTCTACATTTTGCATATACTTTGGAATTCGTGGGTTTTTATTTTCGCGACGTTATGCGGTTCCCCGTCATTCAAACCAGATATTAACCATGAAGTTAAAGAGCCACGAACTTGGTTTCTTCCACGGACGTTAGATCTGGGTGAGCTCTACATTTTGCACATACTTTGGAATTCGTGGGTTTTTATTTTCGCGACGTTATGCGGTTCCCGGTCATTTAAACCAGATATTAACCATGAAGTTAAAGAGCCACAAAGTTGGATTCTTCCACGGACGTTAGATCTGGATGAGCTCTACATTTTGCACATACTTTGGAATTCGTGGGTTTTTATTTTGGCGACGTTATGCGGTTCCCCGTCATTTAAACCGGATTTAACCATGAAGTTAAAGAGCCACGAGCCTGGATTCTTCCAAGGACGTTAGATTTCGATGAGCTCTATATTTTGCACATACTTTGGAATTCGTGGGTTATTATTTTCGCGACGTTATGCGGTTCCCCGTCATTTAAACCGGATTTTAACCATGAAGTTAAAGAGCCACGAGCTTGGATTCTGCCACGGACATTAGATCTGGAGGAGCTCTACATTTTGCACATACTTTGGAATTCGTGGGTTTTTATTTTCGCGACGTTATGCGGTTCCCCGTCATTTAAACCGGATTTTAACCATGAAGGCGTTGAGCCACGAGCTTTGATTCTTCCACGGACGTTAGATCTGGATGAGCTCTACATTTTGCATATACTTTGGAATTCGTGGGTTTTTATTTTCGCGACGTTATGCGGTTCCCCGTCATTTAAACCGGATTTTAACCATGAAGGCGTTGAGCCACGAGCTTGGATTCTTCCACGGACGTTAGATCTGGATGAGCTATACATTTTACACATACTTTGGAATTCGTGGGTTCTTATTTTCGCGACGTTATGCGGTTCCCCGTCATTTAAACCGGATTTTAACCATGAAGGCGTTGAGCCACGAGCTTGGATTCTTCCACGGACGTTAGATCTGGATGAGCTCTACATTTTGCATATATTTTGGAATTCGTGGGTTTTTATTTTCACGACGTTATGCGGTTCCCCGTCATTCAAACCAGATATTAACCATGAAGTTAAAGAGCCACGAACTTGGTTTCTTCCACGGACGTTAGATCTGGATGAGCTCTACATTTTGCACATACTTTGGAATTCGTGGGTTTTATTTTCGCGACGTTATGCGGTTCCCGTCATTTAAACCAGATATTAACCATGAAGTTAAAGAGCCACGAACTTGGATTCTTCCACGGACGTTAGATCTGGATAAGCTCTATATTTTGCAAATACTTTGGAATTCGTGGGTTTTTATTTTCGCGACGTTATGCGGTTCCCCGTCATTTAAACCGGATTTTAACCATGAAGGCGTTGAGCAACGAGCTTGGATTCTTCCACGGACGTTAGATCTGGATGAGCTCTACATTTTGCATATACTTTGGAATTCGTGGGTTTTTATTTTCGCGACGTTATGCGGTTCCCCGTCATTCAAACCAGATATTAACCATGAAGTTAAAGAGCCACGAACTTGGTTTCTTCCACGGACGTTAGATCTGGATGAGCTCTACATTTTGCACATACTTTGGAATTCGTGGGTTTTTATTTTCGCGACGTTATGCGGTTCCCCGTCATTTAAACCAGATATCAATCATGAAGTTAAAGAGCCACGAACTTGGATTCTTCCACGGACGTTAGATCTGGATGAGCTCTACATTTTGCACATACTTTGGAATTCGTGGGTTTTTATTTTCGCGACGTTATGCGGTTCCCCGTCATTTAAACCGGATTTTAACCATGAAGGCCTTGAGCAACGAGCTTGGATTCTTCCACGGACGTTAGATCTGGATGAGCTCTACATTTTGCATATACTTTGGAGTTCGTGGGTTTTTATTTTCGCGACGTTATGCGGTTCCCCGTCATTTAAACCGGATTTTAACCATGAAGATCAGCTCAAAAGTTAAAATAAATGTCATATCCGTGTTCAGCATGGTCAACTTAACCCGTGCCATGAATCTGTAGTGATTTGGAATTCGTCGCTGAATACGTATACGTATACGTCGCTAAGTTCACGGACATAGCCCTGTGTCTGTTAACAATGTTTCGTTACACATTTTACGAATAGTTCAATTAGCCGTTGCACTCGAGACACTCAAAGTATGACAAAGTGGCGAATAAAAGCATTGGCCCCGCAGATTACTCAACAGAAACGCAATAAGCTCCGCAAAACCCTGATATTATTATAAATCAAACCGAATCACTCTCAGCTACTAAACATTGGCTGTACAGCTACAACCTTCCAAAGACTGATAACGTTCAGAAAGCTAATGAACGCGTGATAAAGTTGAACATCACAGTTACGAGCCGTCAACAGCCTCTGCTCTGTATGTCACCTGTTTTTCTCCAGTACACTCATCTCGGACTCATTAGACGAACCTGGCTCATCACGTCCTGTTTAGAAACCCCATTTGAAGTTATCGTTCAGTTATTGTCGAAAAGTAGAAGTCTCACTCCGAGATGAGCACATGCAACATCTATTCCTCTGGCGCCCGCAACTAAGAGGTTTGGGCCAACGGCAATATATCGCAATCAACAATGTAATTGAGTGATAGTGATTGGAAAACATCGGAGATCACATCTGAATAAAAACTTCATGAAAACTGATAGAAACTTATAGAAATGACGTGCCAATTCACTTATTCAGTTAAGAATGAATATAGCGTAGAATAAATACATCTCTAAGGGGATCAATGCATCTGCTGCGTTAACTGCAGACCTTTTGTCAGAAAAACTGGTAGCTTTGGAAGCATGCATATTTCAAATTAATCACGATGAAATTGAAACAATGCTGCGTTGTACAGTTACTTATTGGCACGGTAGCATTGCAAACAAAATATATAAAACGCTATAGGTACCTACTAAGCATGTTTGTCTATCGTTTGTCTATCCAGAGCGAAAAAGGTCATAGAAACAAACTGAATACACCGTGTCAGGGAGGCATTGGCGAGCCGGAAACAACTCAGCATTCGCAAGATCACGTAGCACACACCCGACAGCTCAGAAGTCACGCTTGAGGTCACGGACAAAAGTCGCAAATCGGAGGATTTGCGGTAAATATTACATTAACAAATATCACGGACGTTCATAACGCATTTCACCACATACACCAAGCGACGAATCCTGTTCATTTATGCAGCTCATCCACGCTAACTAAATCGAAATATAACCGAATCAACCGACATCTTTCACACCCCTGTATAACTGAGCTGAGACTTCGAGCTGATCATCCAATTTAGAACGACTGCACCAACACAAGACACAGCACAGCATCACCCAGCAGTGTCCTCACCTCTGTCCGTCGAGCCGTCCGGTTGGCCCCGGTTCGGGAAGCTCAGTTCCTCGTCACAGCCCTGTCACCGTTCCGATCTCCCCGGCTCTTGTCGTCTTCCCGAGCATCCTCTCCGCAGAAGTTCACCACCATGAACAGGGTCGTATAGGACATGATCATCGGATCGTCGGGGTCCGTGGGGAAGCGGTGCTTCTTACCTCCAACAGTCATCGCGCCGAGCTCGCCATTCACGAACACCCCCAGCAGCGGCACGTCAGGCACCACTCGGGCAAACTCGGCCGCCTCAAAGCCCGGCACGAAAGCGTACCCGCCGCGGCCGCAGCACGCCGACATGAAGCCTATGGTGTCGGCGGCGGGGTAGCGCAGATCGGCCAGCATCTGGGCGGCGCCGGCCGTGTCGAGTGGCGGCCGCGTGCCGCCCTCACGCTCGTCCACCACAGCAGACGCTCCGCGCACGCCCGGTCCGCTGAAGTAGACGAGCAGAGCGGCGTCGGCGGGCGCTCGAGGCGAGAGTAGGTCCACCCACCCGCCGGCCAGCGCCACCGTGCCGCCAAACTCGCTGTGAATCAGCCGCGCCAGGGCTGAGGCGGTGTGCATCCCGCGCCGGGAGCTGAAGAAGACCAGCGCGCCGCGCAGACGGTCCCAGGCGCCGTCCTCAAGCTGCGGTCGGACCTGTTCGACAGTGGCCGGGGAGCGACACCGCACCAGACACAGACCCACCTGGGCGCCGGGCCGGCGGGGGATTAGCAGCACCCCCAGCCGGTCCCCGGCCTGCTCCTCCAGCGGCGCGCCGGCGGCCGGCGTGGCCACGCAGCCGGAGAGTGAACTGACTCCGGCGGCCGCGCAGCCGGGCGGCAGCAGCGGCTCGATCCGTGGTACTTGACGGCGGCGGCCGGCCGAGCCCTTCAGCGACTGTGCGAACAGCGCCACCGCCGGCTCCGAGTAGCATCTTTCGAGCAGGCGGCGCACCAGACGGCTGGCTGCCTCGGCGGGAGGCTCGCCGGCGGGTACCGTCTCCGTGTCCCACAGCGGTGGCTGCCAGCTGGCCAGGCGCCGCTTCTTCAGTATGATGTCGGCAACGTCGCGCCAGGCGCGGCAGACAGCGCGAGCCGAGTGCAGTCGCGAACATGGCAGGTGTGACAGCACCAGCCGCAACACCTCATACTCGGAGGTAAGCAGAGCAGTCTGCTGAGTGGTTAGCCCGTCCGGACACGGCTCAATCACAGGAGGCTCCGCAGACATGATGCAGCTGCTGAAATGGAGGAATACACTGCTCATTGATCTTACAAATGCAAAACAGGTCTACTTGCTTTAAGTTCAAGTTTAACTTACGTTCACTTTACAATTTAACCCCAGTAGGCAGATTTTGTGTTATGTAACTACGCATAAGCCATGTGCAAATGTAATTGTGCCATTGTGAAATGCAATTGCACAGTTTTGCCACATATGCAGAAGTAATTGGTTCAGATATTACTGGCGTATTCTAGGATGTAATGCTATGGGTATGAGAGAATGCATTCATGCCAATGCCCATTGCCAAACACTCAGATTTTCCAGTTTGATGTACGAATCCCTTGCTTTGTACGCGACCCATTTTGCATACCTACTTTTACCTGTAGTTTTCGGTTTTCCAGAGGAGCCCGACACAGCAATTATTTGTAATTATATCCAAAAACAATTGTTCACTTTCTACAAGCCTTTATTTGACCAATATATTTTTTTACGCAAAATTCGCTGTTTTCCCTGCGCAATTATTGAAACACAAGCGCCATTTCTGGGTCAAAAGTGAAACCATTGATAGAGGTCAATTAGTGAAACTATGAACCATAATTTACAGCCTTCTTGATACCTATACATTTTTCTGTCTTTTTATTTCAATTTTGTTTTAAAATTTTATCTTTTAAATAATAAATATGTTTCATTCAAAGCATAAGCTAGATGAGATATAAATTTTATCGTTCCAGAACAAACATGGCGATGCCCCTAAACATTAGACGTTCAAGACGCTGTGTAGTCGCCGCTCGCATAACTGTGTGTATTCCTCCGTGTGTGGAGACTGGATGTCAAGTGGATGTTATATAAGATATCATTTTAGAAGTCGAGAAATACCTTTGGGTAAGCATTAAGCAAGTAAAGTGGAAAGAACAAAATCATTTACTGAAAGTATAGAGCGGGCTCTTAGGCGCCATACATGTTAGTTTTACCGATTCAGATTCCACCAGTCCTTGAGCCTGGAGGCTGGAGGTGGCCATTGCATATTATGATTTTGAGTTCAGTGTTAATTTAAAATCTTTCAAGTTAAGAACAATTTTATTTGTATCACAAAGATGCTGGCCATATTATTGTTCAGTGTGTTAAGGCATTTCACCTTTTATGGGGCAGTTTGGTTGGAGGTAAGCATATCTTGAAAACATACCTATTCTTTACTTTTACTTAATGGATATTGAATGCAAAATTTCTTTCAGGCTGGCACACAGTTTTCACACAGGCCAATTACCGTCTCAATCCTCCCATGAACTATGCATGGCATATTTTTGCTTCCAACTCGCAGCTCGGAAGCAAGAATATGTAATGTATTCCTATAGGGGCAGCAAGAAGTGATTATCATGGTTAAAATGCTGTGGTTCAGCCTTTAGGGTGTGTCATACCATACATCATTATTAAAAGATGAGGAGGTAGCAGTGGCCGTTACATGATCATTTGACATTGGACATTACATGACAGATGGCCATGTAAACTGGGTAAATATGTGAGGCAATCTACATTATATAGTTAATAGCTGTCTAAAATAAGAATAATGTCAAATTAAAATGGGTTTGCATCGATGCGTTGATTCATACATTACATTATGCTTATGATTGATTCATTGATATTCATATGGATCCATTTACTATAAATCAATTCCTCAATCAGTGAAAGAACCTTATTAGAAGAGGTAGACATGTTCCTTCTCACAGACAATTACAATACAATAACAATACAAATGGTTTTATTCGTATAGTGCTAGTGTATTAGCATTGTCTGAGAAAAAGAAAAGAACCTTAGGTATTACCATTAATTCATGACTGGGTGAGGCTGACTAGATTCATTACCTACCTACTCTACTCTCATTCATCTGATGCCCTGTTGCCTCTAGGATGCTGCAGCCTGCACCCAGAGCTGTGCCAATATGCCCTCATGTGAAAACAACTAACTTCATAACATGCTATTCTGGTTTCTCATAACACCCCTAGGTGGCACCAGGTGGCACTATACACCTCAGTGCTAGTTGACAAAAGCGCCACCAGCCGGCGCCACGGTCGGTGGCAGTCCCGCCTGTCCCCGGTCCGGGTCAACCTCCCACGCCCGGCTCCCCTCCCCCTTCCCCTCCCGCCTCTGGAGCGTCACTGCGCTGCTGATGGTGTTATTTGACACCAGCTGCTTCGCTTAGGCCCGGACCCTCCGCCAATTATGGGTCTGTTCTGTTTCGATTCCCTCATCTACAGCTGGTACCGTCGGAGCTCGCTCCATCTCCGGTACCTACCGCAAATATCGACCCGGAGCAGTGTAATCGGAAACCGACATTAGTGGAGATTGACAATGATTGGCTGGATCCTGGGATTGAAGCAGACGAACGGTGGGATCAGACAGAGGGATTGGTAGAAGAGAGCTGACCTCAGTGGGGAGTGGAGCGAGAATGCGAGTGTGTCTCAAAAGTCGAGGGATTTACCAGGCCTATCGGGAGTGGCAGTGCGGCGGGCGCCTCTTTGTATACTTTTTTCACAGCTTGTAATAAAGGTTTGTGGATAGTAATTGGTACATCCTTTTTACTAGGGCAGTGGTATTCCTCTTTGTATTTCGTATTATTTTTCTTTTTTATTTCCAGTAAATGCTGGCGAGCTACTTCATCATATGTATTCAGTTCTGTTTTCTGGCGTAACAAGAATACGCTGGACGTGCTTAAGACAAGTCTGTCTCACTCACTGTAACATGAGCACAAGCAGCGGTACCTCAACCAACGGCCACGGCAGGTCAACGGCAGGCGTAATAGGTAAGCACCGTCTCCACCGGGCTTGTTTGCTTGAGACAACAATAAAAACTGTTGGCGATTGCAGGTATATATTGTGTACTGAACGAACTATCATGAGTGTCGTTTGCTATGTAGTTAGATATCATGTCTCTGTTGATTGGTTTTGAAGCTCGCGTTATGTTTAGATAAGGGCTTCATTTAATTGCATTCTCTTTCCTTTCAGTGATTGGCGATGAAATTTTAAAAGGTCAAGTAAAAGACACCAACTCACACTTCATCCTCAAGCATCTGCATTCGTTTGGAGTTCGTGTTCCAAAGGTGAGTTGGAATTGATGTGAAAGCTACATGGTTGCGCTTTTCAACCATTTATAATTGGTTTTATTTGCTGTGCAGTGTTCCGTTGTGTACGGCTCGAAGAAGCACCGTTCTCGTGGGAGTCAGGGCATGCCTATTTCAGCGAAGGCAAATCACTTCCCTATTTCTATCTTCAGTTTCATCATGCATCCAAACAGCGCGATATCAACTTTCACAAAATGTTCTTACGGCCGACCGAAAGCGAACCGCTTCATCTCGCCCGTCCGGTGGGCGGTTTCCTTTCCGGCCTGCACGGCCCTCATTGCTCAACTGAGGGGCCCAGCCGGGGCGGCCGCGGCCACCGCCCCCGCTGCGCCGCGCTGCGCGCCTACCTCTGACACCGAGAGCTGTTCCGTGCGGCGCGCGCCCATAGCGGCCGGTGCTGAGGCCCGATCCCGTGACCCCACCGTTGCAAAACGACTGCCCGTGCGGCGACTGTGGCGCCGGTAGGACGGCTGAGCTGCAGGGCCTCGACGGGAGGAACCGCGTCTCAGCGCCGGAGCCGGGCTCATGAAACACCCCGGGCGAGTCTCGGAGGCGGTAAAATACCGGCAATTTAGAGCGACGTCGAGCTATTGTTAGAACGGTCATTTCAACCGAGACGTATCTCTGTTCTTAATATTAATGTTTATTTATAAGCCTGAATCGAGGCATGTTTGTGCTCTCTGTCTCTTTTACTGGCATACAATACTAACCCCGTTTGGTTTTGATTTCATTATTTCTGTCCGCACAGCCACTTTCAATTAACGTTTTTTTGGCCCGTCCGTCATTCACCCCGTCATATGTGTGTGTGTACTGGGGGGGGGGGGGGTTGGAGGGAGTGGTGTGTGTGTGGGGGGGGGGGGGTACCGCTTATTCCCATACAAGCTCCTACTCTATTCTGTTTCCTCTCTGCCACTCCTGTGGTTCTCATGACATCTCCATAGCAGGTGCTCCTAGAAAAACTGCCAACCCCCGTCTGTGACCCTCTGCTGTTCCACCGGCAGGTCTCTGTGATCCCCGACAGCGTGACGCTGATTGCTGATGAAGTACGCCTGTTCGCGGAGAAGTTCGACTTTGTTATCACCTCTGGAGGCATTGGACCCACACATGATGACATGACCTTTGAAGGTAGGTCACGCACGAGGCCGCGGAGCTAGGCCTGTAAGACGGTGGTTTTCGTGATGTCACCTGGGGCGTTTATTCCCCCACCCCTCCCCGTCCTTCTTGGAGTTGTCTCTCCCCGTCCTTCTTATCCACCAATGCTGTCTATCCACATGGGTGGACCCCAGCTCCTCCCAGTGGACACACACAGCGCCCAGCTGACCCCACTCACGCTTCGTTGCACAATTGACATACATGCGCTACACCGCACTGCAAATGCACAGCGCACTAGGTCAGAACTCAGAGCTCAGATCACAGTTAACCAGCCGGCCCAACTAGTATGGGTTCAGCGTTATGAGCGATACAGCTACACATCTTTGCGGTTTGGATATATTTCCGATGTTTGTAAAAGTAAGAAGTGCGGCTTGTTTGGAAACGGTCGTGCTTCCTCCCTCGGTTGGTGCAGTGATTGATTCAATGATGATATTTGGGAAGGAGCGCCGATTATTTATATTTGAAATGACCATTGCACTTTTCTTGCTCACCCACCATTTTTCATAAATCCTCATAATGATTTCATGATAATTCATTTACTTGATAACAGGAAAATGCTAAGAAGTGTCAGTTCAGCAACCTATTACCCAAGTAAAAACCATTCATTTTTGGACTGCAGTAAGGCGCTCCCCGCCCCTCCCCGCTGATCGGCCGGTGGCGCCGAGTCTCACGACTCAACTCAGAGCTTAGCTGCGCGAGTGTATTTCCCGGCACGGTTACTGTCCGTTCCCAATCCCAGGCTCGTCCATCTCTTGGCTCTGTCCCTCGCCGCCGCCGCCGCTGTCCTGCGTCATGTGACCTACCTCACCTCTGGCGGTGGTCACGTGACCGTCGGGAGCGCTCCGCTATTGGCCCCGCCCTATGGGGGCGCTCCGTCGTTCAGCTGCGCAGTAGATAACGGCTCGACAGCCGGCGGCAAGGCTGTACGATTACCCCGCTCCCTCTCCAGGGAGGGGGGGGGGGGCACACAACAGGTCACCGGGAGGGATGTCGAAGGGCGTGACTGGAACCTGGGTCTGTTCTGGGAGTGTTCTGGGTCATATCATGTGTTTTGTATCTGTTCATCACACTGAAAAACCATTGATTGTTAGCTTGCAGAACTCCTTTTTTCCGCTCATGCCTTGTAACCATCGCATTGTGAAAATGGATGGAATAACCCTAATGTGGAACAGGTGGGGCTCAGACCGGTTCTCTTCTGAGCATTCTGGGGCGTTCTGCTGGCGTCATACGTTCTATATTAGAACGTAGTCGTGATGCGATGATCGTCTATTGTGTACTTCAGTGCACGTTTAGTGCACTATCCGACCATATACAGCCATTATATGCAGATGACGGGAGAGGGTGCACGCTGAATGGGCCCCTGGCGCAATTACCTGCCATTGGAGCACGACCTTTCCCTGACCGGGATTACCCGGGCCTCTAAATTCAGCGCCGAGTCTGTCACCGCCCCTGTTAGGGCAGAGTGGCGATAAACGGCCTACGCTCTGTGAGAAACCGCTTAGCTTAGTTTTCTATTCATTAGACTTTGCTGTCTTGTGTAGGTGGAATGTGTACGAGCACACCTGCTCTCCAACGGCAGCGCCTGACTCATCCCAACTTTTTGCCTCTGTGTCTCAGTTGGGGAGTGGTGAGGCATGGTGTTCTTGTCTCTGCTGTTGGCGGTGTGACCTAGCCGGTACTGTCACTGGCGAGGAGCACATGGGTGTGTCAGCGGCTTAGCGACCCCACCGCCCCCCCCCCCCGTTAGTCCGTGCACCTAACGGTCCGCCCGGCCCCCTGAATGACCCCCGACTGGCCCGGTGCTGTCAGCGGTTGCCCAATAGGTTGGGTCTCCGGTCGGGTCGGGTCGGGAGGCGCGAATCAATTCTCCACATCTACCGAACACGATGTTAGGTGGATAAGGCGCGATGAGAGGGAGACATGTTAGCCTCAGGCACGTTCGTAGGGTGGGGAAAACTGAAACAGTCCGATGTGTAGAAAGTAAACTCGTTTTTTAATGATTGGGCGTTTATAATCGAAGTTGTTTCTTCTGTCCACGCTGTAACTAGTCTGACGGGACACATAGACCCGGCTAAGGTTGACAGTCCGCTGGAAGCGTGAGATAGCTTTAACGGAGGTGTGTAGTAACCGTTACAGGTCGGCGTTTTTTTTTCTCTGTCACCTGTGTGCCCGCGACACACTGCGATCAAAGATACACTGTCACGGTGTTTGCCTAACTATCCACCTAGGACATCTGATGACATGTCTCTGTAGCCGGTCACCCGAACTAAAAACGGGGCCTGGTGTCACTCAGCGTGGGCGAGCGATTCCCAATAAACTACCTAGCTGTGTGGTCTTACAAAAGGCCGTCGGATCGGCCCAATTCTATCGCCCTTCGGCCTCAGAAGGTCGGTAGCTGACGACTGACAGGCAGATCCGACCTTGTGAGCGAGTCAGAACGGCAAGGTCGGACCCGAATAATTCCTGGTTTTGTTCATGGGAACGCTCGATTGACATTCCATGAGATGTGTGTATTTGTCTCTTTGAGAATGCACGGAGCCTGAAACATTGTTTCCGCCTATCTTGGAGGGCGTTTTACTGTCGCGTTAGCCGCTCAGGGGGCTTACTGAAATGGGGGGAGTGGGGGTAAAGCGGCCTTCCGGGGCAAAGCGGCCACCCTTCGTTTTAGCCCTCAACAGCTGGCGTCAGCTCCAATTTATGGTTGCCACTTGCCAATTATACTCCTCTTCGCGGTCGTTCGAATGAGCCAGACCGGGGTTTCCGGCCATCGCCATTGTTCGGTGAAACACGGAAAAACATTTCTTGCCAGGTTACTAACTAATTTTGCGATTTTTAAATGTTGTTTCATTCCGAAGCCGTTTGGAATTTTATTTAAGCAATCTCGTTCATGCATTGTGTGGTTATCGTGGATGTCGTTTACCAATTTTTATGCCTTTTGCCTCATAATATTTTTGTCTCGGACGGTATGATCAGGGGAAAATGGACACGACAGAGTGGCCAGCTCCGAATTGGCCCTTATTTCCATCTGGACAACAAACGTTATCTATATTGAATTTCAATATCAATATCGTCAATTTAAACGCCTTAATACATCATTTTTGACATTTAAACATTACTTTATTCGAGGAAAAGGTTCTAAAAGGTTCATTCTAAAATATTTTAACAATATGTTCCCCGCGTGAGCACTCAACATCATATCTTCAAGAATCTTTCCAAGTTAAAAATCAAGTGTCGGCATCGGAAGAAGCGCCAAGGTGGCCGCTTTGCCCCACTCTACTCTACATAGATGCCAGGTGATAGTAGTTCGCTATATGGAAGTTGCCAAGGCCGAAGTTGCTGGCGTCACACTACTGTTGCACCCTACCGTTTGTTTTTATCGGGGGTGGGGTGGGTGGGGGGGGGGGGGAGAGGGGGATGGAGCTCATGACCGTTTTGACCGGCGGCAACAAGCTGTGCGGATGGAGGATCGGGGCTGAAAAAATTGTGTGCCTGGTTTGTCTTTTGGGCGTAAAGAAACACATTTTAAATTTCGGTTGTTTCCAGCATCTTTTGCAACACATATCTGGACTCGTCAAATATTAAATGTTTGGCATTGAACAAAAGGTGCCGGGCTGCCCCCGAACGAGCAATCATCTGGCCGTCGAACTCTGCAATTGCAACAGTCACTGACGTTGACGCGCACTATATAACTACAAAGTCACGTGGTACCAGTTTTCACGCCTGGCTGAAATGACCACCGGCCTGCTGCCGCGGTGCTGCTGCCGGAGCGGAGTGCCGTCACAGCACGTGGGCTGGGGTGCCCCGTCAGATGGGGTCGGCTGTCCGCACCGCTGCGCCGGGTCCAGGTGTTCTCCCAGCTGTCCCCCTCCCCCTCCCCCTCCCGCTCCTGTCCTCCCTGGGACAGGGCTGGATATGTGACCTTCAGTGGGGGCATTATAGGCGGGGATGTGCCCTGGGAATATTTATAGTGAGGGAGTAATAGCAGCTGTCTGGAGTGTGGGGAGTTTCAAGGGCTCCAAGACTGGATAATGGCTGATTTCGGTATGCCTGACAGGATCTCATGCATCTCATCAGCGATGCGCAGAAACGTCAGAAACGGGCGAAGGTGCCCTGACCCTGACATCACCACAAGTTTTTTGCGCACTTGTCTGGAGATCTGCTTTTATGTCAGTAAATGTATGCCCCATAAATATTCCTAGCATCTAATTGCTTTGGCGGGAGATGACCCCACCACCCGACCCTCACCCACATCAGCAGTGGGGTGGAGGGAGCCGCGGCCGGCTCCGGGCCGGGCCGGGCCGGTCGGTGCCAGGTGCCCTTGGTAAGCCGGCCGCCCTGCTCCCCTGCCGGTCGGTCGGACGCCGGTCGGCGGTCAGTCAGTGCGGGGCCGGCGCCGGTGCGTGACGCGGTGTGCGGAGCGCTGCAGCGATGCTCGTGTGGACGCTGCTGTTTCACGGCCTGCTGGCCGAGGCGGGACACATGCTGATAGACTGCGGCATCAACCTGCTGGTGCTCTCGGTGGGACTGTGCCTGGTGTATGCCTCGATGAAGTGACGCGGCCCGGCGGGCGGGGGACCGGCGGAAAACCCAGGTCGGTGCTGAAAGCGGGATTTTTTTTGCGAATTTTGGTTTGCTGATTTATTTGTGCTCGATTGACACACTAGCAGCTTTGGGGTCACATTAAAAAGTTCGTGTCGAATTTCTCCTGATGTCGGCTATAATTTTTTTTTTCTGATAAAACAAGTCTAACGGCCACATTTTGGAATTGTTTGCATTAATTTAAATTTGGGGCATTTTAGAAGGCATTTAACTAAAATTCACTTTGATGCGCGGTGGAGCTCAACCAGTGCATACTGCATACATCAACCATAACTTTACCACGACTGTTAAAAAGTTCGCGGGCTGAATATTGCATGAATGTATCATTGTGCTACATTCTGCTTTTTCCTTCACCGACATTCAAAATTGTTAGA